AAAGTTCTGATTGGGATGCCAACATAATGGGCCCAAGGTGGGGATGTTGAATGTCCTGTATTTTATTTCATGAAGACGGGAGGCTTAAGGCTAAAAGAATGGTTTCTGGGGAGTTTTTATCCTGTGCGGTGTCCTCTCATTATTGGACTTAATTCACACTGCCACCTTTGGACGTGGTCTCTTATTCCCGGTGTCTGAGTGTAACTGGTATGCTTCAGCAAACCTTACGAAGAGCATCCTGGCTTAGAGGGATGGTTTTGTTGCAGGCTGACCTGGCTTCCCCATATCTGTGTTAACTTTGTAAAATTCAGGTCATAATTGGACTTTCTTAAAGGGTTCTTCTAGTTATTAACTTAGATAATACAATGGCCCAGAAAGCATTTAGCACACTGCTTGACATACACTAAGCTCTCAATAAATATTAACCATTATTCCTTAGAGGCAAGTCCTAGATTTAATATTTTATTGGAAAACTTAGGGTATGTATTTCCAGGCCCAGGGGATAAAAGTTGTTACCCAGTTTTTGAATACCTGTTACGATTAAACACAGTGGTCTCTTCCCTTGAATTAGTGTAAAGGTCCACAAACAGACATTACCACAGCTGCTCAGGCCCTCAGCTTAACCTGGGTTTTTCAAGAACTCCCACAGCCGGCATTTGGCACTTAATCATAGCTCAAACAGTGTGCGTGGTTACTGCAGCGTTTGCTAGGTTGTTGTGAGAGCCTTGTGGGTGGGCCGTATCTTGCCTTCCTGCTCGTCCCCTCCCTCCCCCAGCACAGCGAGGACACCGTGGTTCCCGAATGAAACTCAGCAAGTCTGGACGCTGCACCACCCCTTGCCACATGGCACTCCAGGAGATGAAACAATTACCTTTTACGCTTCCAAAAGGGTATACTTTTCAGAAAAGTATAATAGAGATTATTGTACAACTTAACCTCTGTGTTCAGTGGTCTAAGGTCTGTCAATAGAAAAAGAGTAATTCACACATACTGGCTAAAGGGAGGCAGAGTGAAACTGCATAAGCTAGATCCCCTCACCCCTTGCCTCAGCCTGCCTTCTTTAGAGCCTGATTTCCAGATTCCCAAGTCCTTCTTGTAAATGGCCGCCTCTCCCCGTCCCAGCCTGCAGTGTACATCAGGATAAAGAACCGGGCCCAGGATGAGTATCTGACGGTCACTGGCAACGTTGCTGACACAAGGGCCACATCCGTGTGCGTCTCTCCCTACAGCGGGAAGACAACTCAGATCTGGCACTACTGCCGAGGACTCTTTAAATCCAAGGTGAGCAGCCACCCCACGGACACCGCATCCCACCTTGGGGCCTTTTTTTTTCTTTTGGAGGCCAGACTTTTGCGAAATCAAATGGCCTTTATAAAATAATGCAACTTCCTAGAAATGGTTGTAGGACTGTATAAATATGCCACGTTACATTACTAAAGCTTTTAAGTGAAATGGACTCAGAGAATTTTCATCTAGAAAATTCAATTTCTACTTGAAAGTTAAAAACTAAGGTTATCACGTACTTTGGCTGTGCCTAAATGACGTTTTAAAACCAGTGACAGACAACTCACTGGATCCAACTGGACGTTGTGCTCTTGTGACACATTCCTTACTCTGTGGCCCAGATAAAATCAGCTGTCTTTGTGGTTCTAAACATCTTGAAACTTTCACAGTACCCAGTGAAGTAGTTATTGGAGAAAGCTTAGAAAATAAAGTTTACATTTCTTTGTGATGCCTCCATTACATTTGATGTTCTGGGGAATAGAACACCAGTCTTATTATGTCACCAACGGATTCTCTACTTTTTTCTCATCAACAAAAATGAAAAGCACTTAAAAGTAATTATTGTTTGGCTATCTGGAACATCACCTGATGCTTTTATAAGAAAACCAGGCTCAGGGAAGCCTGGGTGGCTCAGTTAAGCATCTGAGTCTTGACTTTGACTCAGGATCGTAGTTCAAGCCCTACTGGGTGTGGAGCCTACGTAAAAAAAGAAACCGTGGTCCACCTGATACATTTATGCCAACAGAGACTTAACATTTAATTGTAGTTCAGCAAACCTTCATTGACCATCTGTTGTCAGATGCAGGTGTCCTTTTCACAGATGCACCTCTACTTCCGTGGGTCTGTGTCTGTACCACGTCCCTCCGCTGCCCTAAAGACAACTTCAGCAGTTGGTGAAATTGTAACTATGCTGGATAGTCTTCTCTTTTAGATCAGAGTCGTGTAAAGGGAAGGGACCCAGTTCACTTGATTGGAGCTAACACAGTACTGCCAATCTGCTTCCTAACCTTTAGGCCAGTGACACGTGCCTTGATGTGATTGGAGGCCGGGACACCCCCGGGGCTAAAGTGGCTCTGTGGCCTGAACACGGACAGTTCCGGCAGAAGTGGAAGCTGAACAGAAACGGAACCATCAGCTCCTATCTCAGCGATCAACTTGTCCTAGATGTTAAAGGTGGGCCTTTGAGGAAACCCAACGTTCTGTGTCCCTGGATAGAATTTTAAATTCCAAACCTTCTCCTCCTCCTGGGGAAAAGAAATCTGATGCACAAAAGAAATATTAAGTCATTTCTACTTACTCTTGAAAAAAGATACGCTGTTTTAATGAACAATGAGCTACTTGGCTCAAGCAGGAAAAACCTCAGGACAAAGTCTGAGGTTTTTGTTCATTAGGACAGTTGTAAAATTCTCATTTGCTACATGATCTTTGAGAACAATTCTAAATTTAAAGCTTCATCAGCCATAAAATGTCCCGTTTCATAGAAAGAAACCTCTTTTTGCCATGAACTGCTGTAGTCCTTAAAAGCCCTCCCTTAAAATTGATGGCAGGTATCATTTAAACTTGCTTTGGAATTGAGCAAGGTCTGGGCTGTTGCTTTAATTGGCTTAGTCACAGCCACTGTCCATGTGGAAACAGAAACCGTGCCCAACATCCAGCCCGAGCTCTCTCCAGAACCGTGGTGCTGGGCACACGGCTTTTGCAGTCAACTGTTCTACCTCTTAGTTTTTCAGTTTGAGTCATACTGAGGTCTGATTTGAGGTTAATCATAGCTAAGCTTATTTAAACTCAGCTTCCCACATCAGGCTGCCTTTTTTTTTTTTTTTTTAAGATTTTTTATTTACTTATTTGACAGAGAGACACAGTGAGAGAGGGAACACAAGCAGGGGGAGTGGGAGAGGGAGAAACAGGCTTCCCGCCGAGCAGGGAGCCCGATGTGGGACTCGATCCCAGGACCCTGGGATCATGACCCGAGCGGAATGCAGTCGCTTAACCGACTGAGCCACCCAGGCACCCCAGGAATGAAGTCTTAACCTGGCACTCGGTGGGCTGAACATTGTTAATAAGCACCTGTGTGAACAAATAATCCTTTCTTTCGGAATTCCTATTTTAGGAGGAAATTATTATGACAAGACTCATGTAATTGTAAATCAACCCCTGGAGGGAGCAGAAACACAGAAATGGGACATTGAAATATTGTGAGAGAATCTGCGGCATCTCTAGAAAGAGCAAAGAACAAACCTCCTGTCCCTGGGAAAAGCAGCTACTTGTCCTCACGCTCCTGCATCACTGAGCACAGTGAAGTTTTCTCCTAGCTTCCAAGACCATTGCTCTTAACCATGGCAACACTCAAGTATTCTTGCCAGTTGTTTTGCATTCCTATGAAAAGCACATTTTGATTTCTGCGAAAGGTTCTAGTCCTGATTGGTCTCCAGTTTTCTGGTGAGCAACTTCCCTCAAGCGTGTGCTTTCTCTCCTCTCCACCAGACACAAGTCCTACTCCTGAAAGCCACTGTAGGACCCTGGTGACTGTCAGCCTGTATTAGCTGTTAATATCCTAGGAGACAGGTGTGTGAGTGCGAAGCACAGGGAAACAAATTCCTTTAGGTCAAGTCATCCTTTTGCAAGAAGAGAAATAATTTTTTTTTAGCAATGCCTGAAAACATATTTAATAAACCTTCCTATTAAGCTGCTGTAATTAGATAAGCCTTAAAGGGTCTTCTTTACTGAGGCTTTTATAACTGAAGCACCGTAAGTATTCATACTTATAACTGACCCCAGGAAAGGACCTTGGCTTTGTTTAGGAAGGAGGCTCGAGTATTGGCATATTTTCTGTGGCCAAACTAAAAAAGCACAAATAACTCGTGAGCATCCTTACTCTCTCCCGGGTGACAAGACTCTAATCGGTGGTCACCTGTCCTGGTGCTGACACCTCACCCTAGATTTTGCCTGATCTGCCCTCAAGCAGTTGTTTAGTCAAATTTTTCTTTGTCTGAAGTAAAGGGAAATTTCAAATGTTTAAGTTAAAACCAAGTAGTATTTGAGCCTTTTTGACTATACCATTTTACTTAATGAAATGGCTGAAAACTCAGTTTTTATTTCCATTTTTAAGCAAAATCAGGTAGGATATCAGGTAATCATTACCACCTTTAAAAATTATACAATTCTTAAGTATTTTTCCCTCCTGAGTTGGTTTTAAACTTGAGACAACTGTTCCATTCGTCACCAACTTTTACCAGAAAGCAGAAAACTGTCTGCTCTATTTTTATATAGAAAGATTAAATACTCCAGTGATATTTTTGAATTGTCAACCTTTATGCACTTTAGAATGTAAAATAACAGTGAATTGTTTAAGTACAAAGACCCAGTATTTTGAGCATTTTTTTATGGAGACTTGGTCTTTCCATGTGAATACTGGTTTTTTTTCCTTCGGTCTCAGGCTCTTTGTCATCTCTGAAGCAGCATCTGTAGAACACACGTATGCCCACAGATGGGAGCGCCTCTCATTGGTGTGGCAGTAGTTAACGGAACTTACGTTATCCGGGTCACTTTATTTTAATCGGGGGAGGGGGCTGTGTATACACGGAGGTATATATTTTCATTGTAAAAAAACAATTTAAATTTTTTTTGTGTTAATTGTTTAAAAGATTTTTGTAGAGCCAATAAGGCTCTTTAAAGAAGTTTCTTCCAAAGAACAAAGACAAAGCCAGGTAGCGACCTTTAAATTTCAATGATCCATTTACTGGAGTTGTGCCTTTTCTACCACACTGGATTAAATGAGTTTATCCAAAGTACGGTTTGGTTACTTTCTGAGACCCCCTTCTTCCATGAAGGTGAGGAAGGCTGTCGTAGGGCCCTTCCCAGTCGACAGAAGCAGCACATCGTTGCTCTTCTTTGCGCACGTGTCTGAGACGGTACACCCTTGATTCTGGACAGGCCCTAGACTACCTGGATTAGGCATTCTGTCCAGAGGGATAACACCAGGTTTTCCTTCTCCTCATCTGTAGCCAGTTTCAGGTCCTTGACAGAAATAGCTGAGTGACCCCAAATTTGCTTCAGTGCATCCATATGTGATAAAGGAAAGCGAAGTCCATGGGACTGGAAAAGGATACACTAGTCAGATAAAAAATATTAAAGTGGTATTTTCATAACTTGTATAGTTCTCAGTATTTCTGATAGCCTTACAACTAGATAACGTATAGAATTTGCCAATTCCCATATAAAAACTTAGACTTCACGAAAGGTCTCCTACTTTATATCCTAAGAAATTAGTCGTTTGAAATACTTCATATTTATGACATTACACATTTCCTACGAGGCTACAGGGTCCCAGCTCGTATGTTTTAAAGCTGGTGTATGTGTACGTATATCACAGAACTGTCTGACTTACTTAATCATCCCTGTGCAAGGGCTCTGTCAATTGTGTGAAATGTTAAGCCCACGCTGCAGTCATAAGAAAGCGCATCACCCATAAATCAAAGGTAACACATTCTTCCCAGCCATCACCAAATCACAGTAAAGATATTTTAGGTTGGAACAGACCTCTGTTTCCTCATTTCCCATCATGTGTGTCTCTCTCCTATTCTTTAAGGAATGATAGATGTAAACCATCTTTTCCTGAGTTTCATCCTTAAAAAAAGGTAAGAGTTAAGCTGTCAACAACACAATATCGAGGAGGTCAATACAAGGAGGGTTCTCCAATAACAAAATTTAACACCAAGAATCTTTTTGGCACAAAGTTAGGATATATATACACAAACTATATTCCTCAGATTACTATTTGTATATAGCAAATAGGCACTTTTTTTTTTAAAAGATAAAACAGAGTGTAGCTCATAGAGCATCATCTGAAATGTGGCTTAATGAAAAAGCAACCACTTACCTATCAACTTATCAATGAAACATTCATTTCATTTAATCCAGCCAGCACTTTTTTTTATATCCGTATATGACATTCCCAGTTATAAGCTGGCAATTTGTGAACACCACGGAGTATTACTTCTTGAGAAATACCAGCTGTGGGATCTATAAAAACTTCCAATTACAGTAGCCTCTCAAATAGTCTACTTCCCTGTCCATCCATCCTACAGTGACCAGAACCTCAGTCCTTGTCACCTATTAGATAAGGGTTACTAGGATTTTTTTTAATTTTTTTTTTGAGAGACGAATACAAGGGAGTGCATACTTTTGAGGTTTTCTACATATATTATAAACCAGTCCTCCCCAGGTCTGGCCCCGATGGCTGTGACAGTCTGGTTATGGACACATCTAGCTGCCCCCAACTCACAGCCCCCTACTCATTCATGGAGCACCTCCCAAGATAGCTGACTAGGAGGAAGAAGGTGAAGTCATAGGGCATGGAAGAGTTCCCAAGGTCCTTAGGATTGTACAGGGAGCTTTGGTAATAAATACAGAAGCTCTAACCCAGACCAAGTGAAGCCTGGGAATTTATAATTTCTAAAAGTTTTCCATTGAGTCTAGGATCAGTAAACCATGGGGCCAGGTGGCAAGGTTATATAATATAAATTTTCTTCTCCATGATCTAGAAGAACATCAACAAAACCATATGTAATGACCGACTGGGCAAGGTGCAGGATGGGAGAGTGCGTGAGGGAGGTGTGTGAACAAGGAAGGGTCTGCAGTTGTCTGAGCAAGAGCAGTATGGCCTGAACCAGGAGGCAGAGACCAGGCGTCCATCACCACATGAAGGAAATGAAGGAGGGATCTGTGGGGAGGAGGGCAAGCCTCAAATGCCCAATAGTCAGGCATCTTTGGCATAGTGAGATCTGGGCACCCTCTGAGGTAAAGTCAGGGCACTAAGGAGAACAGATGGATGCCCAAAGAGTTTGGAAAGGTAAGGGCCATCTGTTAGTTTGATAACCTGAGGCCTGTGATGGAAATGTCCTGAGAGGAGAGGAAACCTCCTCCTCTCTGGATACTCACAGATTGATCCTGATCCGGCCCTACTGTGAGGACGGTGTGGTCTTTAAACTGCAGTCTCACTGTGCTGTCCAACCCTGGTAACCGTCCACCTAGAAGACCCAGAGAGAGAAAGCCAGCCTTCACTAGAGGAACCCCAGGCTCAGACTTGTGTGCGGTGAATCCAAATGTGGGGTGCCCTCCAACTCAAGTACTGACTTACCCTGTATTTATAATGATACTGAAGTATAGTTTACATCCTTACGGAGCTCATTCTTACAGTGTAGACGTGTAACAGGTAAGTAACAATAGATGCTGGTAGGTACATCTGATAGATCTAAACCATGCCCCAGAAGCAGAGTGGCTGTCCCAAGAGACAGTGCCGCTGGGCACCCTGCACCCAACACTAGCTTCCCAGGTTCCAGCCTCCGTCTGCCGCTTGCTCTACGTGTGGAGCCCAGAAGTATGGACTACCTGAGTTCAAACCGCACCATCTCACCAACGACTAGTTCTGTAACCCTGGCAACTTATTCCATCCATGTAGGTCAAGTGTAGTGTCATGAAAGCCACCTAATAAAGCTCACAGAAAAAAAAAAAAGTATTTTCCAAGTTGGATTTAACTTCGTAAAAAAGTAGCCACTAAAAACAGACTGGCCTTAGAGGGTCATCTGGTTGAAGAAACAGTCTTGAGGGAACATAGCGTTATGGACTCTAATGGCTAAGACAAAGAAGGGTTCAGGTAAGATATTCTGTGCCATAAGCTGATACTCTGAAAACTGTTCTACTAAAGACTGAAATACATGCTGGTAAAAATTTGCTATTTTGAATAGGTGCAAAAACAAATTCCAAACTTCCCCCAAAGATGATACTAAAATTATAAGCAGAATCAATGTTAAAGGCGACCTTATAGATTGTCTTATTTCAGTGGGTCTCAACCATGAGAAAGAAAGCTTTTATAAACGTTAGCAAAAATAATCCTCTCAACCCCACAGAGAAGGAGAAAGGCAGCCGGAGAGCTGGCCTGGTACCCACAGCTGTGTCTCGGTGTCTCCTGTTGAACACAGACGATTCCACAGAACACCAACATTCAACCAGGCCACTCTGTGAGAGGGCAAGGCGAAAACGAGGCCACTCCAACAGCACGTCAGAACTCAGGCAAAAGCGAGAACACTATCCAAACCTCAAAAATGACCAAACGTCCCTATCCTGCTGATCTGAGCGGCTGCCCCTGCCTTACTAATTGCAACCTCAGCCTCATTTCACTCCTCCTGCCTACAGGAGACCCAATCACACTCATTTTCTGACAGCGGCCATCCCAGAACAAAGCCCTGCTTTCTTAACCCTCCTGAAAAATCACCTAACTCAAGCCCGAATCCTTCCAACACTCTTTTACTTAGATCACCCGCAACTCCCAGCAGTGTGGTCTTCCCTGTTGCAACAAGTCCTAAATTCATTTGTCCCACTGCAGGAGTGTTGTACTGATGGTCTGCTATCACCATCTATCCAAGTGTTAGGTCATTTGCAGCCTAAACCAGTCACAAAATAGTCACTTGGGACTCAGGGCAGGTTAGTGACAACCTTGTGTTCAAGTTCTTAGAACTTCCTGAAGATGGAGAATACCAGAGTGCCCATACACATATTTCTCATCCACAATCACACGGTTCTTTCTCCCCATCAAGTGGGACGCAAGTTCTTTGCAAAAGACTTATGAGATGCAGGATCCCTAAAGCTATAGCATGTCTCATCCAAACATAACATGCTAAAGATAGATCTAGGTCCACCTTAATTCGAAAATGCTTCTTTCTTTCCATCTGCGCAAAGAGGAGCCCATCCAGGAAAGCCTCAAAATATCCCACCTGGCGTCGAAAGCTCGGCTCGGTCTCCCATATAGTAAGGGGGAAGTCTGTTCATAACAAAATCCTTCTTCATGTCAGCTGAAAGCAGCTCTTTGGTGCCCTCCAGCCGGTCAGCAAGGGTCCTCAGAAAGCCACTTAACCTTCTCGTCACAACAGCCATGGCGTCCACCTGCTGGAAACCCCGAAGTGAGTCCTGGCCCGAACTCCATCAGGACTTCCCGCACAGGTCCTGGTGTCCAGAGCAGTACGCGGAGCATAACCAGCCAGCATCTCCAGCTGGTCTGTCCTGCGTAAGCCGGTGGCCAAATCTGTGGCTCTCCGGGCCACGTGCCTCAGTGACTCAGCCACTTCCTCAGCCAGCGTTCCCACCCTGCCTTCGCCGTGCGGAAAGAGGGGCTGCCTGCGCAACAGCCTTGGCTCTTGGGGGCCCACGGACCGTGCAGTGCTGCATGCAGCCCAGGAGCTGGGCTTGACTGGCGGAAAGAAGGATCCTGGGGTTGCCTAGGAGGCAGGCCACAGCTTCCGCTAGCCTGGGCTGCCACTGACCCCCTGCCCCGACCCCCCTGGATCCCCGAGCCTTTACTCCTTACCAGGAGCAGCTGCCGGGGTATGCCAGCCCGGAACTCCAGATCTTCCTTTGCAGTGTCAAATACAAGCCCTGAAATAGTGTCCAAAAGGAAATCTCCCCACGAACTGGAACACACACGAAGAAAGAAAACCGTGAACACCCACAGAATCTACATAAAACACTGATTACTTAGTAAATCCCGAAGCTACAAACTACATTCCAACTCCCCAGGTGCTGTGAGTTCCATTAATGTGACATTACTCAGCACGAAAAAACTTGAAGGCCTTCATCAATCACACTGCTTCTCCCCTCCCCTTTCCCAGACACTCACGTGGAAAGGTAAAAGGTAGGAGGCTAGGCTTTATTCACGACTTCTCTTAAAAGATACCACACAATCCTATACAGGTGTAAAGTGGGAAGTTCAAGGGCCCAATTTATTTTTAATGTTTTTAGTTGTAACACAAGTGTCTATGAGAGGAACTCTGTAGGAAATTTTAACAATCACAGGACCTAAAAAAAATAGTTTATGTTCAAATTTCAAAAAGAAATACATTTAGGGTAACAGTAAAATCCCTGGACTGTTACACATTACATTTTCCTTTTTCCCTTATAAAAGAGGGGCACTCTTCCTCAGTGAAATATCCAACATCAACAATTTCAAAACAATCGATTTGCAACTTGTTAAAACTCCAGCAGTGCTTAGAAGGGTAGAATCCAGTGGCCAAAAATAACGTCGAGGGATGAGCATCGGTGTTCAATTACCTGTACTTTGTCTGGGGCATTTACAATCGGCTCGCTCCTAAATGTGTGCCACTGTAAGAAACGCTCTGTGGGGTTGCTCTCTTTCAATATTTCTAGCTGTTTATAATTTTCCCTCAGTGTCACCAGCAGATTTCAAATTGCTGGCTACGTGCAAAAATGGGAATTCACAGTATGACTTTTGCTTCTCACTCAGTAAGCAAAATTAACACTTTAATGCTTCCCTTCCAAAAAAGTGCCCAAAGAAAAAAGTCACATGAGCGACACTTTCCCTAAGATGTCTACATTTGGTGTCCTCATACTTTGCAACTTAATGTTACACCCAACCTCCCATCTGATTGAATGAACCTTCTCCTGGAGCTCTTTTACCAGCACAAAAATAAGCTCTTCTTTTGCAGGGTCCTGGGTGAAATCGTGCGGCAGTAGCTCATGGAGAGATGGCACTGCAGTTAAACCGAGCTCTGTGTTCTGGTTAGAGGCAGAATGGATCTTAGACCAAACTTTGAGATTAGTATTTCTTGAGGGGTTCACTTTGGTAAAACAGCCAAATCAATCCGCTGCTGTCCCACACCCAGATCCCAGACGTTCCCAACAACGTCCCCTTGAGAGGTGTCAGGAAAAGGCCCCAAATCCTCACCGTGCCAGTGCCTTCCGGGGTACCAGGCCCACGGCACAGGGACATCTCTGGGGAGCAATGGTTCCTGAGTTCCAATCTGTCCCCTTCTAGCTCCAGCACCACCGAATAGAGCACAGGTCAGAGTCTGACCCGAGGCTCCTCAATCACGGCGCCCGTCCCCCTCCCCAACTGACCAGAGAAGGCACGGGTGGGACCCAGGGGCAGCCCACCAGATCGTCACTCTTGGGATTGGGAAAGAGTTTAGCAGAAGTGGAAGCTATTAGGTCTAGTGAGAAAAAGGGAGGTCAGACAAGTAACTGATGACGGCTTATGGATGAGTCAATGTTATGAGTAAACAGAAGGTGAGGAAGGAAAATAAGTGCATGAAAAACCACTTACTAGAAAACCAGTTGGGGGCATTAAGTGAATGCAAAAGACAGAGAATCCCAGAAAGAGAAATAGCTGAGTCACATTAACGGCAGGATACCAGAAGCGACGGGGACACCCACGGGGCCAAACTGGCTGCCAAGGCCCAGAGCTGCTCGGCACCCACTGGGAACTCCTGGTTCCAGCCTCCCCGTGGCTATGCAAGGAATCTGCCTAGCCACCGTAAGAAGAGCATTTTTCATAAAGGAAGGATAATATAAGCTCTGGTCTGCTTGTGGGCAAGGACTACCCTAACTGTAGGCCAGGCTCCAGCTAGTTCCTCTGGTCAGCCTCTAAACACAGGGGCTCATTTCACCCAGAAACGCCAGATGAGGAAGCAGAAGTCATGCTTACCAACTTGTTTTGCAAGTTATAGCTCTGAATGTAGGAGGGGCCCTGCTGTCCACTGGGACTGGAATGCCTTTCCCAGTCTGACCATCTGACCCACTCTGCTTACTCACCCTTTAAGACTCACTCAGCCTGGGCGTCAAGTCCTTTCTGAAGCCTTCCCTGATGCCCCAGCTTGGCTCAGCGCATTCCTCTGCGCTCCTCAGGAGTCTCCTCTACAAACCCACGATGGAAGCTATCCCACTGCTACTCCCCGATCCGTCTCCCCTCCTACCACCAGCTCCAGGGTGCGAGTTCAGTCCCAGGCCCACATTCCCAGCCACTGCACAGGCTCTGGTGCCCACAAGCTGCCGGGCATCGACGACTGGCAGTCTGAACGCGCCCGGGGCTAGCAAGGTCGCCATTGTTAGGGACCCACAGGGAGGCCGCTGTCGCCCAGGGCCTGGGAAGCGCCACGCACCGAAATGGAACACAATTTTAATCAGAACGGTTTTCAGCACATGTGCTTTTAGGTCTCACTGTTCCAGACTTGCTTCCCTACTCCATTTCATGAACTTGTATGAACAGTGGAAACCTTACAAGAGATCCGGAGGTTTCAATGGACACAGAGTTTCTGTGCGGGGTGACGAAAATGTGCTGGAACAGACAGTGGTGACGGCTGCACAACAGTGTGAACATAATTAATGTCACCAAACTGTACAGTTAAAAACGGTCAAGGTGGCATATTCTACGTTATAAATATTTTACTGCAATAAAAAAATGTTAAAAAGAGAGAGACTGCAAGTCCAGCCAGGAGTCAATAACACACCACCACAGCTGTGGTTCTTTCTTCCCAAACCATGGAGCCCTCACCGGGCAACTCCCATTTTCTGTACAGTCAGGTTCATGACATTCGCAGGAGGAACCCCAGATGGGCCAATGGCATGGATAGGACTCTAAAGGAACCGGAAGTTAGCAAGGGCGCCTGAATGAAACCCCTGAGGTTGGATAAGCAGGACAGCAGGGCAACTCCCTCATTCCCTTCTGCATACGGTTGCCATGGGACACAGCTTGCGCTCCCCTGGGATGCAAGGCTGGGAGGAGAGTGTTTACTTGTTCTGGTAGGTGCTGATGGTCACGTGAGTAGAGTGGGCCAGCCCTGGAGGAGTGTCCGCTTGATGAATGGTCCCTCTGGGAAAGTACAGGACATCACCTGGCTAAAGAAAGGAAAAAAAAAATGGGAGAAGGGAGTTAATAAGGAGGATGTCTTCTCAGTCCTCTATGTCTTAAAGAGACAAAAATAGGCTCTGAGTTTCAGTTTTCCATTCTAGAAACCTTCTACTTTGTGATTCCTGAGGTGGTCTGTATGCTGGGCTCCTGGGGTCCCACTAGTCTACCTTCACCATGCCTGTGAGCCTGTCACTGTGAACCCCAATCTTGGAGAGGGTTTCAGTACCTGAAGTCACTTTCTTTATTCACAAGCTGAGAGCAGGTGCCCCTGAAACTGTCCCGCCCCAATCCAGGTGACACCCTGGGGAGCCTGCACCCTCCCTCTCCACCCTTCAAATGGGGCAGTGGTGAACAGTAGGAGCTTTAGAGTCAAACAGACATTGCCACTTACTGGCTAGTGACTCCAGGAAATTACTGAACCCTCCCTGAAGCCTCAGTTCTTTCACCGGTAAAACGGAGGCAATGGCCCAAAATTCAGACTTATTTTCACGATTAAAGGAGATGCTATCTCCAGAGCTCTTGGAGCCGTGACGGCCACGTGGTTGTACTGTAATTACTCTTCTACCTGCCCCTCCCCCCCTTCCACCAGCAGGTTGGTGAGCTCTTCCAGGCAGGGTCAAGGTCCATCATGTACTCCCCAGAGCCCAAACTACCAAGGCATCAGGTGTACAACAGAGGCTCAACGAATGTTTGGATGAACAGATGAAAAACCATTTAGCCCTTCACTTGAACCTAAAAACTAAATGTAACTGGAGATCAGTCATTCTCCTGGGCAGGTGAACCTCCTCTACCCTGTTCCAGGTCTTGCCCAAGCCAGGGGACAGAAGTATCCTTCATAAATCATTCCTGAAGCTACATCCTCCCTAATCCCACCCAGATGAAAAACCCAAAAAACTGCAACCACGGGAAGCAGTCTGGCTCACTGGTTAAGAGGGTGGGCCCTCAAGGGGCAGCTCAAGAAATAGCAGATTAAAGGGCGCCTGGGTGGCTCAGTTGGTTAAGCGACTGCCTTCGGCTCAGGTCATGATCCTGGAGTCCCTGGATTGAGTCCCACATCGGGCTCCCTGCTCAGCAGGGAGCCTGCTTCTCCCTCTGACCCTCCCCCCTCTCATGTGCTCTCTCTCTCTCATTCTGTCTCAAATAAATAAATAAAATCTTAAAAAAAAAAAAAAAAGAAATAGCAGATTAAAAAAACAAACAAAAAAACCCAACCTTTTCTTAATGTTAAGATTTTCCTTAAAGCAAGAAACAATATACAATTAAATATATTCATAAGAGTGATCTTGGTGGCTCATTCACCCTGAATGACACCAAACTGACAGGGAAATTACTACCTCAAGCAAATGCTTTATTCACAATCATAGCTATCACTTGCTGAATGTCTCTGCGCCACCCCTCTGAATGAGACCTTCATTCATTCATTTATTCATACCACAAACATTTGATTAACCAATCTCCATCCTCCTCCCACGCCAGGCACCATGCTAGGTAGGCACTGGGCATAGAGCATTGAACAAAATAAGGTCTGCCCTTTTGTAGTTCATTTGAGACAAAGAGCAAACATTTGAGAAGAAAGAAGAGACAACCAATACCATAAAAACATTCTATTGAAGCAAGGCAGATAAAATAAAGCAGTAAATAAATAAGGTTAAGTGGTGGTAAATGCAGTGAAAGCAAAAGAAGCAGAAGGAGAGGAATGATTCATAAGGTGATGTGGAGGGCAGGGTGTGCCTGGGGTAAGAGGTGCCATTTTTATACAGGATGGGCACTGAAACCTCACTCCGCTACAATGACATTTCAGTTGAGACTTTAGGAAATGAGCAAGCCAGCCATGGGACTACCTGGGCAGAAAGGATTCCAGGCAGAGGGAAGAGCAGTACAAAGGTCCTGAGGTTGAAAATGTGCTTGGCACCTTTGAAAAGCATTGGTCAATGTGGCAGGAGAGTAGTGAGGGTGGAAATGATGGGAGATGAAGTGAGAAGGCAGCAGAGGGGCCAGATTACAGGGCCTTCTGGGCTGTTTTAAGGACTTTGGCTTTTATTTTCGATTTAAAAGAAAACCACTGGAGGTCTGGGCAAAGGGTTCAATGGATCGCAAAAGGATCATTATGATCATCATTACGTCAGAAAAGTCTGTGATGGGGATACCAAATAGGAGGCTTTTGTATAGATCCATATCCAAGGGTTTTGTCCTGAACAAGCAGGAAAATGGTGAGGCATTTACAGGGAAGGAGGCTGGGGACAGGGTGGGAAATGGGAGTTTGCTTTGCAGAATATTAAATTGGCAATACCTTTTACCCTTTTAGTGGAGACATTAAATAGGCAGCTGGATATAAGTCTAGAGTTTAGAAATGTGGGCTAGAGACTGAACACAGCACTGAAAGTAGGTCAGTCTAGAGGAAATTTAAAACCATGGGAGTGGGTGTGGATTGAGGAAAGAGGTCCAGGAAATAATCCCTGGTACCCTAACTTTCAGAGACAAAAAGACTGAGGACAAAACAGCAATGGAGGATGAGGAAGAATAGCCAGTAGGTGGGAAAGAGAAGAGAGGGAGGCGTCCTGGAAGCCCAGTGCAGAAGGCAGGAGTGACCCACTGTGTCCAACGAGGCTGACAGGGGGCTGCTGAGATGCGGACTTGAAGGTAAGCACTGTACTTGACAACATGGATTGCCCGGTAACCTTGGGGAGAATGGTTCTGGAGGAATGGTGAGGACGAAAGCCTGTGGGGAGGAGTGCCCACGAGCAGGAGAGAAGACCGGTGACTGGGTCCCCGAAGACATCTACGTCCTAACCCCAGGCACCTATAAATATTTAGGGCACACGGCCAAGGCCAATTAAGGCGCTGACAAGGGAAATTAGTCCGGATTATCCAGGCAGGGACAATGTAATTACAAGGATCCTTAAAAGTGGAAGAGGGTACGGCAAGAGAGGACCATAGAGATGGCAGCGGGAGAAAGACTAGGCTCTACGTTGCTGGCTTGGCGGATGGAGGAAGGGCCGTGAGCCAAGGAATGCAGGAGGCCTCTGGAAGCTGGAAAAAGCATGGAGATTGATTTTCCCCTAGAGCCCCTGGAAGGAACTCAGTCTTGCCAACACCTGATTTCAGCCAAGTGAAACCAAATCCCTTTTGGACTGCTGAACTGCAGAACTATAAGTTAATAAATCTGTGTTGTTTTAAACCACTGAATTTGTGGGAATTCGATAAGCAGCAATAAATATATTGACATAGAGCCATCTCTTCCAAGGAGTTTCATTGCAAAGGAGGCATCAAAAACATATTTTTCAATTCTTACAAACTACAAGGTAAATATTATGATCTCCCTTGCAATAAAGGAGAAACTGAGACTGAGATAAGTAACTTGCCCAAGAATGCACAGCTCTTAAGGGACAGCAGCTGAATTCAAACCCAGGTGTGTCAGATCCCCAAACCAGAGTGGTGTTCCCACTGCAGGAGGGGTCTTCATCCCAAGACCTCGGGTTTGGAGACCCTCACTGTGGCCTTTATGCCCACCCCACCCAGAGTGACTCAGCTTTTCTGTTTCATACACTGGGCATTTACACGAGATTTCATTTGAAGAGCTTCACCGATTTAAAACCCACAAGTATACAGACGTGCAACTTGGAAAAAAACCCACGGTACACAATGCTTGTCTTTCTCCTCCCGGGAGACTCAGGGCTGCTCTTAATGAACTGAGATAGGATGGGTGTGATTAATGGGTATCACCCCATCTCCTCCCAGGCTCCCAGCACCACCTCGCAGAACCCACACCACCTACACCTGAAGACCAAGAAAGATCAACGTTCTTGGGCATGGCAAGTAGCCAGTTGTCAGGCTAGGTAACTCAGCCCTGGCCTCAGAGACCATGGATAGCTTAGTCTTTGGCCTAAAAATAATCAACCAAGAGACTATTAAACATGCTTCACCAAGAGTGAGGGTTGGTGAACTCCTTCCCTGAAGGGCTCCACAGTAAATAGTTGTGGCTCACGGGCCACGCAGTCTCTGTGGCAACCAGCCAACTCTGCAGGTGTGATGTGAACACAGCCCTAGACAGCAAAAGGAATGGACTGTGGCTGTGTTCCAGTAAACGTGATTTACCAAAACAGGTAGCAGGACATATTTTTGGCCCATGGGTCATAGTTTGTTGACCGCTGACCAAGAACTTAAAAAAAAAAATGAAGGGTACCTTTATTGTATCTATTTAAATCCCCTGTAATATAAACACACATCGTAAAAAGGGAGATCTTTTCTCCCAGTCACAGGCAAGCCAGGCAAAGTTTTTAAAATCAAGAAAGGGCCATAAAGTATTGAGTAATTATAACTAATTATTAAGTTCAAGACACAAGAAACTCAAAAATAATAACTATATGCAAGTATATCAGGTTGGTAGAATTTTTAGAATGATTTGAGCTGTTATATCTTAATTCAACATATAAAGTTGAATTATGGACCTATTCTTATCCCTCTACAATTTTTTTTCTCAGCAAACTCACCTGCTAGGGATTGGCTGTGGTCAATCCAGGCTAACTGCTCAAAGACAGACTCTCTATAGCAGGGGGCCAGCCAACCAGTCACCATGCTCAAGCCACCTGGCTTCCTGGAGGAAGAGCCCTTAATTACTATATCCAAAAGAGGATTACTATTCTTTTGGTGACTATACACAGGGGTAAGGAAGGGGAGTGCAGAGAAAGTCTACTGTACAGTCAGGAGGAAAGTGGGTCATGCTAGAATTTTCCCAACAAAAAAACTAAGGGGTCCCTGGCTGTGCTCCGCCTAGGCAAGCTACAGCCCGGTCCCGACAGCTGGCTTAGATTTGGTGAAGCTGCCCAAGGCCGAACTTTCCACTTGTACTCTAGAGAAGTCGGTGGTCAACGAAATCACAGTCCATTTCTGTTGAACTTGGATTACATTTGGAGACAACTTGTTTGGAAAATGAACTTAACGTCTCCTCAGCTCAGTTCTACAGTACAAACATCAAGTCTCCTTTAGAAGCTGCATGTGCTAGCGAGCGAGAGCCAGCCCGAGCCCACGCTCTTGCATTTCCTCCCACAGGGACCCCCGCACACACACTAAACCCCAGACCGGACCCTGTGTCAGAAGCAGTGGCCATGATGGAAGTCCCGTACCTTCAGTGTGAACTCGAGCGCCGGCCTCCCAATCCTGTCCTCGGACTCCACGCTGTACTCCCGGGCCAGGGGCACAGTGGGGTGGTAGAGACGCCAGCGTTTCTCTCCTTCCAGCTGCAGGATGAAGACCTACGGAAGCCACAGGGCCCAGGAGTGTCAGCGAGCTTCCTGACAACTCACGAGGCCCAGGGCTGCTAGAGGATTAGCCCTGCAAAGGCTTAGATGGATTACAAATTTCAGGTAAAAAAATAAAAATGAGAGATTAGTGAGGCACTTCACTCTATACTTAAAAGTTGCCACTGCTGGTTTTCACTTTTAAAAACAGGTAATCATGAACCCTGATACTGGAAGGATATTCATTCTCTTCACTGTAATAAAGCCTCACTGGGTTCTTTATATCCCCACATCTCCTGCCTTTAAATCTTCTATCAGACAGCTGAGAGCCCATAATCTCTGATGGAAAAGCCAAGTTTCAGATATTCCTCAGGGTCTAAAATCCTGAGTATCATCCTTGGCAGAGAGGAAAACTTCAAGTTCTTTATTCTTCATTCAGCCAAAGATATTTTAAAGCTCTGTTTAAAATATTATAACAGCAGGGCGCCTGGGTGGCTCAGTTGGTTAAGCAACTGCCTTCGGCTCAGGTCATGATCCTGGAGTCCCTGGATCAAGTCCCGCATCGGGCTCCCTGCTCGGCAGGGAGCCTGCTTCTCCCTCTGACCCTCCCTGCTCTCATGTGCTCTCTCTCATTCTCTCTCTCTCAAATAAATAAGTAAAATCTTTAAAAATAAATAAATAAAATAAAATATTATAACAGCAAAAACAAAAACTTTTGGGAAATGTATTGGTATGAAATTGCTTTCAAAGGGGCAAGAAGGGGCTTTTTACTAATAACTCTGTGTTCATACCGTTGCATTAGCATAAAAAGAAAACGATGGACTACCCATGACGGAGAATGAACTTGTTCAGCAGCCACATGAGAGTGAATCAACACTTGTCAAGGTGCCAGTGCCGAAGTGAGACCATGACCTTCATTCAAGCCACCCCAAGATTTTCACAAATGGAAAAAATTATCTATTTTTGGCAGCTCCAAAAAGAGGATGAAATGAAAGCAGATGTAAGGATTACTTGTGACCTCACTTTACTAAAACTCGTGCATTGTGAAATCAGAGAAAAAGCCAATCACGCTTTTCTGTAGACAAATTCAATAAATACCTGTTTCATAGGAATGTGTAGCTCTTTATATTAGTAAAGTTAGAAACCATCTCTCCCCTTTGAGAATGAGCAGGAAACCAGTTTGGCAGGATTCACCTGACCCAACATCTGGGTGAGGTCAAGATCTCCGGGACCACACGGCAAGAAGCTCAGAGAGCTGAACTGAACCGACATCTAACCCAGGCTCGCAGTGATTCCTTACCCGAGCAGAACAATGTTCTTCCTCTTACCTCCACATCATCATAATGGGGTGGGAGGCCCTGGGATCCTGCAGGGGTTATGTATACATTCGAGCCAACCAAGGAGCCAAAGTAGCATTCTAGCTTCTCCTGGATCCTCCAAAGCTCATCCTTAAAAAGAAAGGAAGGAAGGAAGGTGGGAGAAGAGGTGAAAAATATGTCAGAAACAAGAGGAAGAACATGTTCTTATTCACCTAGCCAGTCTTTACTGCACAGCTCTTATGTTCCAGATACCCAAGAATTCAGCAGTTAAAGAGCCAACACCCCTGCCCTCAAGAATCTTCCATCCTAGTGCAGAACACTACAGAAAACTGAGAAATTAGCAAGGCAGGCAATCAGGAGTCACGCAGGATTTTAAGCACGGCAATGACACGATCTAATGTACATTTCTGACAGCTCACTCTGGTTCCTGTGTGGAGAGTGGCCTGGAGAAAAGCAAGAGACATCAGTCGGGAGCTACTAAAGCAGCAGCCCAGGTGGGAGATGAGCAGGGTGGTGAGGGAGAAGGAGAGGCAGAGATGCACCCTGGAAGCGCCATGGGCTGTGAGGGACCAAGTAGGACAGGGTGCGGGAGGGGAAGGGGATTAAAAGCCTCCTGGCTTTGGCTGGGCAGTTAGTGCCTGGTTCACCCTACTAAAGTGGGAAAGACTTGTTAAAGAACAAGGGTTTTTTTTGCAGGGAGAGGGGTGTAGGTGTGTGTGCAGGGAGAGTTCTACAGTAGTTCATGAGAGAGAGAGAGAGAATATGAATGATTTTCCCAAGTGGATAAGGAGAGGGGAGGTAGCAATTAGGCCAGGCGGATATTAGCACTTCTTCTCCGCCAGGCCGTCTCTAAGTGCTTTACGTATACTGGTTCTATAACCCTCCCAACAACCCTGTCCTGTAAGGAGAGCAATACCGTAATGTCCGGTTCACAGATGAGGACACTGGAGCACGAGAACACACGGCTAATATATGACGGAGCCAGGACTGAAATCCAGGCAGCCTGGCTTGCGCCCTTTAGCCGTGGCCCTATACTGCCCCTTTAGGAATCATCTTAAAGAAAACACAAATCACCTACGAGGACACTAACGGATACTGAAGACATTCAGTCTCAAGTATGAATGTACAGTGCCCGGCACACACAAGACACTCAAATGCATTTTTAAAAATTTGGTGAGTCAACCAATGACCACAGCTTGAGAGTCAATCCTACCATTTGACTGAAAAAGGATCTACAGTATTAAAAGTATCAAGTGGGAAAGAGTTAGGTCAGTATGAAAAAAGCTTTGGGAGACATCTTTAGGAAGATGACTGGGCTACTCTATTTATAGATCAAGGGTTCTACTTAACAGAGGAAGAATAATTTAATGGCTTCTGAATAGCTCCAAAGAGTTAAGAGAGCTCTCAAAGCACCTAATTTATACCAGGGAAGGGCCAGCAGGACCTGGCTCTGTAATTACATCTATACGGTAACTGGAACCATTAGAAAACCAGGGCTTCTCCTTCTGATGGCCTGAGAGGCATCTCAGGGCCATATGGGTGACTTTATGGTTCCCAGCTCAAGCATCTGGGTCGATCAATTGCACAATTTTTCCATTTCTCCTGGACATTTAGCTTCTCAATCTGCCAAGTATAGCCTAGTAGAAAGAGACAGGAAGTCAAACCACCTCAATCCAAGTTGTAGCTACAAACTAAATGATTTTAGCGTCTTTATTTGTAAAATGAGGACTCCCCCACTAAGACTGATAAAACAACTTATCTGCGAACTTACTTCAGTTGCAAGGCAGTATACAAGTGTTAGGGCTTCACCAACACTGAACTTAGGTACAAACAATGCTCTTACGACCTTTCTTCTTTAGGTCAGGATTCCCAGCTATGTCTGGAGATGCCAAGGAGGACCCCAGAGCAGTGAAAAGGGAAGGTGGAAGCCTCTTCCTCGGTGGGTACAACCTCCTCTCTCCACTGACCTACCCATAACAATCAAAACTGAATGCAACTGCTTCTGGGACCAGAAGCCCATGGGTACACCTTTACTAAAGAAAGGCAAAAACAAACATGCCAAAACCCTGCTACATTTCAATTAACATCTTTAAGAGTATCACAGGAAAATGCCTCAGATTTGGAGTCAGAAGTCCTTACTTAGCAGCTATGGAAAAGGTCCATAGCTCTGAACTCGTTTTTTTCACATGTAAAATAGAGACCACAATGAATGCCCTATTTCAAATGTCTGTTAGAAGATTCCAAAGTGGGGCGCCTGGGTGGCTCAGTAGGTTAAGCGTCTGACTTCAGCTCGGGGCATGATCTCAGGCTCCTGGGATCCGGCTCCTTGCTCAGTGGGGAGCCTGCTTCTCCCTCTTCCTCTGCCCCTCTCCCTGCTTGTGTTCTCTCCCTAATAAATAAATAAATAATAAAAAAAAGAAAGTTCAAAAGTGAACACGTGTATTTGGTAAACTCACCCAGACCTTTGACATGGATTATCCAAAGAAGGTGGGGAACAACTTAGGGTTCCCTGATTACCTCCTTATTCACTTCCCGACCAACTAGAATAAGAACTTGTGCACATTCTGAAACCCAATAAACAAGGCACTGTCCACTCTCTCAACCTAGCCAGTGATGAACTGCCTCTCGACTTTTTCTATCCTGATATCAATATGCACGTTCCTAAACACACATACAACACTAAACCTCCTCATAATAAACTATTTAGAACCCAGCATCCACTGTAAGAGGGTGAACTCCTATAAGTCTCTCAAGTGGTGGAAAGAGAAAAAGCAGGGTGCATCCCAGTCTAGCCGGGGAGCTGAGTTTAGACCGAGAAAGCTCATCCTTCCCACTTTCGTAAACCTGGCCAAAGAGCTGAGTCAACAGGGCAAAGGAAATACATTCTTGGCTACCTGGAAAAAGAGAGGAGAAATGTGCAGGACTTAAGAGATGAACAGGGAAAGGCCCAGGATGATTTTCCCTAGCTAAGAACAGAAATGACAGCCACTAAGGACACCACACATATGCCAAATAATAACTTTCTACTGGTTTGTGACCAAATTACATATAATCAACTTCATTGACCTTTTATGTTCATAGTTATTAGGTGTCTAAAACCTGCTTTTTAAAAAAGTGCTGCTTCTAGAAGCCAAGGAAAGAGTCAAGGACCAGCTTAGAGAGAAGACCATGGTGTCCATATTTCCTGAATTCAAATCATGACTTGGTCTGGCAGGTTATTTATAAATTCTTTTTGGGTGTTGGGCCAAAAGGTTGGCATTCCAGAAACATTTCAACCTCTTATGACTGCATGAGATGGACTATCTGGAATCAGGACTTATACTGAAACATCTAAGAGTACTTAACTTTATCCAGGGCACAAATAGGTTCAAGATCCTTTAGACAAGAGAGGAAAATTTGGCCAATGGGCTCTACCAAAGCAACAGAGTTCAGCCATTGGAAACGTTATTATAACTGATGACAAAGTCCCAGGAGCCATCACACAGCCAGAATCCTCACCATGGAACCTCATGGACCGCTCTCCTGCTCCTCCTCCCATGCTGCCATTTTGGTTCAGCCATGGGTCATGAAAGCGGATTTCTGAACTGAGAACAGACCCTCATTTGTTCTGGGCCACCTGTCATGTAAAGATCTCAAACCTCTACAAAAGCAGATTAGCTAAGATGGCATTTATGAAGCAGAAACTGAAGAGAGAGGAGGCTAATTATTTCTTGAATGTTAAGCACTGATACAGAATAAATAAAAAGTGAGCCACTCTCCCAGACTTGCAAATCAAAGCTATCTTCTACTTATGACTGCCTTCCTGGGAGTAGTTCCAGGACCCACACCCTCAAAGCTACCTGGCGGCTGTTAATGAGGGTAAAGTCTCTTTCTTAAACATGCATCTGGTACTTGATCTGGTCACAGCTCTGAAGCCTCTACTTAGCTCGTTTTAAGTAGTAAAGGGAAGCAACTTCAAGAAGAAAATGATCACCCTGACACTATCACGCCTTAAATTATAATGACAGGACAAACCAAGTAGAAAGGTCTACCATACACCAAAACATAAACCACCCCACAGAACATGCTCCTGGAGGTTTAATGTTAATTTATAAACTTGCAATATAGTTTTTGCAGTGCGATGATCATGTCCCCGGAGTTGTTGGGCGATCCTAACAGTTTAGCCAAGAGATAACACAGGATCTCCTAATCTGGGATGCATTTAAAGAGCAAACAGGTGGTACCTCCTCTCAAACTGGCAGGACGCTAATCATCACAGGTTCATCCCTGAGCTGACCTGTGGCCAAACGTTAGCACTTCAACCCATAAAATGATTCTGTCATGGGGAGAACCTGTTACCTTAAATCTCTGAGGTTGGTGAAACTGAATTGTTGCCCTTTTCTGGTCAAAATCTTTTCTCAGCTGAAGGAAGTGCACCTTGCCATCTTTATTTAAAACCTTCTTTTTCCCGTTGACACAGCGGCAGACATTTACGTCTCTTCCATAGTACACACCCCGGCTGCAGAGACTCTTCAGATCCGACAGCCTGAACAGGGACTGGTAATATGTGGCCACTGCAGGGTCATCTCTCTGAAGGAGAAGGGGCTGCTTCTCCCAGAATTCCCCGAAAAAAGTCTCTGTCTTGATGGGCGAGATTAAGCTTTCAAAGAGATCACCGGGGCTTTCAAAATTCAAAGCGGAGGAGGGTCCGCCAGTTGCCTCCATCTTCAGCTGCTTACAGGGAGCAGATCCCTCTTCCTTCCCTCTCCCCGTGGGCTTTGCTTTCTTCGGCATCCTTCTGTCCTCAGTGAGGAAGCGGACCTACCGGAGAACGAAGCACACACGTGATTAGGTTTACCAGGAGTGCCAGCGTTCATGTCAGCAGACCACGCACACACAGCTTGCGAGGCCAGTAGCCTTCAGGAGAACTCGGAAGTCAACGCCATCTCCTTCAGGATGTGATCGCGCCTCCCGCCAACACCGCATCTTCCAAGATAGGATTCAGCCTCAACCACCACTCAGATTACATATCCATCTAAAGGAAAGCTTGTTTTTCTTGTACATAAGCACGAAGTCGTGAAATTCGTTGTTTGTTTATTAGGAGGTATAATGATCCCAAATGAATGGTTCTGCGATCGTGGCAGTTCCTGGTCACAGCTTTAGCTGGTGGCCGTTGACGCAGAAGTCGAAAATCCTGAATTTGGCATCAGTCAGCACCAGGTCCCAAACCTAATTAGATGTACTCTTGAGTTACAAACACTCGCCTCAAGAACTACCAACAGGGGCCCACCACCAGTGCTCCTGGGCACAGCACCGCCCCCAGGCTGTGCAGGAAGGCGGCCAACGTGCCCTGGGCACCTGGTGGCTGGAGCGAGAAGCTGCCTGCTCCCAAGTCTCTTCCTTACCACCTGAACCTCCTCACTTTTGATTCGCAGCTTACTCCTGAAAATAGCTACTTTATCGGAAACCCCCGCCCCCATTAAAAAAAAAAAAAAAAAAGAGGCTGCTAAGTAAAAGCTAAAGATAGTTATACCCCATCTTTAAAAAGCTTTAACTTTTAAACTAAAATAAAATACAATAAAATACCAACATCAGGAACCTCAGACACAGCACTCCCCCCAACCTTAACACGCACGCCCATCACCTGGGCATCTAGATCTGAGGCAGGGCTGAGATTCTGCATTTCTAACAAGCTCCCAGGTAACAATGCTGCTGCTGGTCCCGGGCCCACACCTGAGGAGCGACACTCCCCAGCATCGCTGAGCCTCTCTCAGAACTGCCCCCAAACCACACTACTGCTACCCTTACAATGCAGCTGTCCTTCATCTGGGGCTCAAGAATGATATTTCAAATTACATGAATTTCCAGAAACTGCAAGATTCTATTGCAAAGTGTATGTATATCTATAGATTTGGGGGGTAGGCACATTGCTCTCACTCGATTCTTAAAGGAGTCCCTGGCCCCCCCAAAAGGCTAAGAACCATTATGCTTATAAAAACCTATTTGTCCCAGAGTCCAGTAACTAATAGATGTTATGGTTTTGTTTTGTAGGGCTAGCAGGACTGTAAGAACACGGTTTTCTGCTCTTTTGTTATTATAACTAAGTTGTATTTCAGCTACACAGTGGACTAAGTAGAATTAGTGGTCTGGCCTGGCAAGAAAGTACCCTGGAATAAGTGTTACACACTGCAACAACTAATTTATAAATGAATGCAACCCAAATGTAAATTGAACAATTTAGGAAGTGGAAACATCAAAATATACGACTCTAGTGGCCTCATTTTAGCTTCTAAACTTTGTACCCATGAACAGCTCAGATCAAGTGCCTTTGATAGGAAAACACAGGACTGAGGTGGAAAACGAATACAAATCGACACCAAAAGCTTGCATTGGAGGAGTAAGGGCTTAAGCTTAGGGAAAAAAAAAAAATTTCGGTGTTTTAGGATATGTCATCCATAAGTCACATTTTCTGAAAATGTTCCCTATTCCTCTTAAGTTCTCAGACCAGTTTGATTTCTCAACTAAAGAATCAAGGCTTCAGTGAGACAAAGTATTGCCAATACTTGGAACCCAGATGCGGTGTAGAAACAAGGAGACATGAAGAGATTCAGTTCAGAGCAGAGCTAGTGCAGAAGAGGCCTATCCTTCGAAAGGCCCCGTGTATGGCTATTGTCTGAGAACTTAGATTTCAGGAGCATTCCCACCACCTTTAACGGAGAAGAGTGACTCACTGTGCCTAAATTTTTTGTGCACTGTGGTTTATAATGAACACCTGTTTTCCTTCTGGGAGTCTGGAATTTTGGTTGGGGCTTGGTGCCAGGCAGAGGATGCCTACGTGGTCAGCCCCCAGTAAAAACCCTGAGTTCTGAAGTGTCTGATGAGCTTCCCTGGTTGGCAACATTTCACACGTATTGTCACAACTAGTTGCTGGGCCAATTAAGCACTGTCTATTGTTATAATAAATCAGCTGTGAGTCCCAGCAAATCACTGAACCTAGGGATGGTCTTAGAGACCCCCAACACATTGCTCCCAATTTTGAAAAAGTGTTAAATTGGTTCAGAAGGTTTGTATCATTAAGGTACCCTATAATGAAAAAGTAATTTCATATTAAGCCATACATCTCTTATCTCTCACAACTGGTCAGTTTAAAATTTATTTAAGGGATGTGGACAGCAGGAAGATGCCAATGAAAGGCTTTTCTTTAAGCACAATTTATAAATACAGTATGAGCACATTCACCAGGAAGTGTGGTTAAACAAAGTGCACAAAATACGTAAGCCAAAAATAAAATCACTTAAAGCATTTTTCCCACCTACAATCACTAATAAAATAAACCCAGCACTGCATAACAAATGCTTTTGTTAGAATATAAATTTCATTACTTATACTGCCAAAAGTTACATCATTTCTTGTTTCTCTACGTTCATATTGAAATTATTTGAGGCTCGGGCACCTGGGTGGCTCAGTTGGTTAAGCGACTGCCTTCGGCTCAGGTCATGATCCTGGAGTCCTGGGATCGAGTCCCGCATCGGGCTCCCTGCTCGGCAGGGAGTCTGCTTCGTCCTCTGACCCTATCCCCTCTCATGTGTTCTCTCTCAAATAAATAAATAAAATCTTAAAAAAAAAAAAAATTATTTGAGGCTCAGTTAATTGGAAACTGGCTTAGAGGTTACTGGGTAAATATACTATTTCTCTGATTTTCACACTACCGTATTATAAGACAACCATTCTTTTTAACAGCTTTTGGGGGTGGAGGGGAGAAGAGATGACATACCCTACCACATTAAACATGTAAAAATCTTAAGATGCATCACAATTTCAGAAAAAGTAAAAAAGCCTATCTTAGAATCTCAAAAATATAGTAATTAAACAAGAAAAAAACCTTTATCTAGAGAAGTAGAGCCAATATAAGCCTGACCATAAACCTCACAGACCACTCAAACAGAAGTTGAGTAAATATTTTTATAAAGCTACAGAAAAAAAAAAAAAAAAGTTTAAAAAAGCAATTGGGGGGCGCCTGGGTGGCTCAGTCCGTTAAGCAGCAGCCTTCAGCTCAGGTCCTGATCCCGGGGTCCTGGGATCCAGTCCCATATCGGGCTCCCTGCTCCATGGGGAGTCTGCTCCTCCTTCTCCCTCTGCTCCTCCCCTGACTTGTGCTCTCTCCTCTCTGCTCACTCTCTCTCAAATAAGTAAAAATCTTTAAAAAAAAAAGCAATTCGTATCACTAAATGTACACAAATAGCAAATGTTGTATACCTGACACTGTTATTTATCAATTATATTTCAATTTTTAAAATAAAAACAAATGTTTCCAATCTGAGTTGATTATAAACATTAAAGTATAAAAAGATTAAATCAACTCAGTTCATATTGTACTAGCCATCCATAGAAAAACTAATCTAAACAACTTTGAAGAATGAACTCGACAATAAAATCAATACTGATAACCATTCCACAGCCAATACATACAGACAGAGCCTTTATGTTTTTAAGTGTCCTAACCTTCTTTCCTTGGTAATATTTACTGACAAGAAGTCAACACAGCAACAGCTATCTGCACATTCCCAGAGCCTAGCACAGAACATGACACATGGGTCCCCAAGAAACGCTCGCTGAATTTTCCTTTTTCATGTTTTGTATATAATTTTAGAGAAAAATCCTCAAACCCTTACACAAAACAGCGTTGGGGGAAAACAAAGTTTATTCAGTGGGGATTATTCTGATGGTCGTTGTAGCTTGGGTAGTCAACTGCACCGTCAGTTGAATGGCACATCAGCCCTCAGTGGTTACTGCCACCCAGGGGCGGGAGGTGTGTCTTTATAATCTTCAGAGCAGAGTTCTAAAGGGGAGTCACCAAGAACACTTGTTCACATGCACATCTGGGCCCCATATCAAGCCTATTGGTAGCTGGGGCCTAGAAAACCGCATTAACCTAGTAAATTCTCCACAGGAATTTTAGATCCATTCACATAGAGAATGATAGTCAAATTCTGCTCAATTAAATGCACATCCAGGATAGAAATATTACCTGTAAGGAGGTCGCCTAGGCTGACCTAAAACATTTTTTTTTTGCCCAACAGAAATGTTTATCCAGAGGGAAAAGTGGTTCTCCTGGTGACCTAAAGCTGTGATTGGCAGTTATCTTCTTAGTTGTATTTTAAAGAGAAAATGGATTATACCACATTCATGTATTTTGGTGACCCACGACGTTACAAAGGATGAGGCCAGAGAGGCAAAACCATCCACCCACGAGACTGTGGCAGAGGCTGGGAAAATCAGGCTCCTCCACTCAAACGCGAGTCCAGTGAAATCAATGGCCTGGCGCCGAATTTACAGCTAATTCGTGGACTAATCACATCCTGGGACTCCCAGGCCCCTGCTTCCTGAAAACACCTGGCCTTCCTAACCTGTTGGACGACCCACTGTCAGGCTGCCAGGCTAGTCGCACTTGCTCAGTGCCCGGCAAGCGGCAGCTGGAATTTTAAAGTCAGGGCGGGACAAGAGGGCCGCAGCTGCCCTGCCCACAGCCCGGGCTGCCGGTTCCCCAACCGTGACGCCTGCCGCCCAGGCCCGACCTGACGCCAGCAGCACAGCCCACGTGGAGGCCGCGCTCCCCGGCCGGGGCGAGCGCCACCCTCCCCACCGAGCCTCCAAACTTTCCGAGCGCTCGTCCCAGTGTCCAGGCCACCGGCGGCTCACGGGGGCCACTCTTGGTGCCCAGGTCACTCGCGACCCTACCCCTCCATCCGGGCAGCAACAGACCCGGCGTGCCCTCCCTGCCCGGGTCCCCGGAGTCACGGAGCGCGTCAGCGCGCGTCCCCGGTCCCGAAAGCACCAGCGCCCGCCAGCCCCGTGCCCGCGAGGCTCCCCGGGGCTCGGCTCTCAGGTCTCCCCCCAGGCCCCACCCGCACCCGCGCCCTGGCGCCGGGAGGGCGCCCATGACCCCGCCAGCGGCGGCGCGGCACGGCGGACGGACGCCGCTCCACTCACCCGGCTCGGCCTGTTGCGCGCGGCCGCGAGCGGGCGGGGCGGCGGCTGGGGGCGGGGCGGCGGCTGGGGGCGGGGCGGCGGCTGGGGGCGGGGCGGCGGCTGGGGGCGGGGCGGCGGCTGGGGGCGGGGCGGGCCGGGGCGGGGCGGGGCGGGGCGGCGTGCGCACGCTGGGAGGCGGCCCGCTCCGGCTTCTGCGCCCGCGGCCGCGCCCCCGCCCCTCCGGGCCGCGTGGGTGGTGCGCGCTTCTGGCGTCCGGGCCCCGGCCCGGGTTCGGTGTTCACGCCCGCATGTTTTTCCCTTTAGTGTTAAAGGACATATATGGTTCTTGTGTGTGTGTGTGTGTGTGTGTGTGTGTGTGTGTGTGTGTGTGTGGAGGGGGTGGTTTGAGTTGGGAGCGGGATGAGCCTCTGGCTTTGGGGCAACAGTCTAGTACAACCGGGTTCTTTTTATGAATGGGGAAACTGAGGCCCAGAGAGGAAAGGCGAGCTGCCCAAGTTTAGGAAGCTAAAGGTCCAGGTTCTCCCATCGCTTTCTTTTGAGCTCCCTATGCTATGCTGTGCTGTTTTGTATTGTAATTTATATCACGTTGCTCCCAGAGCAGAATTAATCCTGGTTTAAGAGGATACTGGAAATTCTTTGAGATTGTAGCTATAGGAGAGAAGAACAAAAGCAATTATAGAATTTCAGCCTAAGGCTGTATACTTCTGACTCATTATTGGAAACGTTTGGGTGGGCAGGCTGGACCAACTGGGCACGGGGGTTCAAGGGCACATCTCTGCTCTGGCCTGTGTCCTTTGCTCTGTAGACAACCAAAGAGGTCCCAAAGGAAATTATTTCATTCTGTCAAGATGATTGAGACCAATGCCTACTTCTGATTATCGGGTGACACGTGAGCAAATGCAAACAAAGTACCCCTTGTCTAACACTTGTCCAAAACTAACAATAATAGCAAAACTTGAGTTCTTGCTGGCAGGGACCATGCCAAGTGTTTAGTGTACTCCTCACTTCGTCTTCACCACAACCTTGTGCTTACCTCCATTTTACAGTTGAGGAAACAGTCTGGAGAGTTAACTTGCACAAGATCACATTTAGATCTGGAAGATCTACGTCTTTCAGGAAAGACTTTCTCAGAAAGATCTGTCTTTCAGAAAAGACTATAAAAATCCTTCTAATCCACTTGACATTATATTGGTAATGTACTTTGCTTTTTATTTTGACTACAAAACATCTACTCAAGATAATGTAAGAACAGTATTGATGTTACAAGGATTCAGAAAATGGTAAATTCTTACCCATGTCCATTACATGGAAAAGCAGTACTTTGTCATAAAGAAAAGTTTCAATGTCAACACAAAAAAACATTTCCTAGATTTTGAATAGCCCCTAGGATGTCTAACTGAACAAAAGTACATATTGAAGTCAGCTCTGTTAGGGGTAAATCATATATCAAGCTTGTATAGGAGTTCCCCTGGTGCAAAATTCATCTTTCAATGTGTTCTCTCTGATATTTTTATTATAATCCAGATTTATTAACATGGCAAGCAAAACAAAAGAAAACAAAACGAAAGCCATGCTCATTCCTTTAGACCTAAACACAGTGGCTGGCATGTCTAGAAGGAAAAGGAAGGGAGAGAAAGTGAGGAAAAGGAGGGGAGGGGAGAGAAGAGCTTCCAACATCTATGGCATTCTTAACGTACTGTTTGAGTAATTTGTTCATCTTTTGCTTTTAGTCCATTGAGTTTAAAGTTCTTCCAGAGGACAAGAAGCAGACTACTGCGCAGTCTCCAATTTATTTATTCCAGAGTCATTAAGAAGTTGATTATTTTGTTTCTGTAATCCATTTCTTCATGAAAACGATGTCATGGATAGCCGAGTCATGGATGGCTCAGTGACCCAGACCTGCCCAGAAAAGCCTGCAGAAGCCCCCAGATATCTGAATCAATAGACTAGCAATCCTCCTGTGGAGCCTGGGAGCAAGATGCTGAGATGATAGGAGAGAGCAGAGGATTCCATCCTTATCTTGTCTTAGACAGAAACCCTGAAATAGACTTGTCTAGGATTCTTACAAAAATAAACTGCACTTCTACAGGGGTGCTTTATGTTTATGTCCTTTGTGTTGCTTCATTAAAAGACTCCTTTCAAAGCCAAGTTTGTCATCCTGTCCTGTGATCTCCTAGGTTTTCCCTCCTACTGAGCTTTAGGTTTTAGCCACCTCACTGTGGCCCCCACTGGGCCTCCCACTGGGCTGCACCAGCACATCTCTGTCCTTCCTCCACCTCCAATCAAGATGATGCTGGGCACAAAAAATCTTAGAATCATGGTGTGTGAGTGTACTTTTAAAGGTTACTAGATCTAACTCAGAGAAGGAGATGCCCAGTATATGAACTTAGCTGTCTCTTTTTGCTAATGCTGTTTCCTCACTTATAAAGTGAGGTTGAACCAGATAATTCTGTATTATCTCTATTGCCTCTCAAATTCTATAAGCCTAAGGGTCTGTGCACCAATTTCCACAGGATATTAGGAGAAAAATCAGTCTGACTGGAATCACTCATTCAATCTATAAACATTGAGGAGCTTGTAAAATGACTAATACTTGTATTAGGAATTTTTGTTTTTACACTTCCTTTTATTTTCTAGGGCTATCACATTGCAGAATCCCAGGAAGCACAGATATTATTTTAAACTGTGTGAATAGTGCCCCCTATGTATTTGTATTCACTTTGGTCCAGAAAGGATCTAAGTAATTTCTTTCTTATATATGATTTTATTTAATATCTATGCTATTATTACTATCATCCTAACTTTTACAAACAATTTATATAATATAAGGAAACCAAAGCAGAGCAAGGTTAAATAACTTGCTCAAAGTTATACAACCATTGGATAGTAGATCTGGGACTTAAATCAAAATCCTATGCTGCCTATCGACTAATCCTCTTTTTGGACCTCATTTTCTGCATCTGTAAAAATGGTGAATTTTACTTAATTTGTCCAACTCACAAAGCTGCTGTGAGTCTTGGGTGAGATAGGGTAGGCAGAAGAGTGTTAAAACTGTAAAATGCTATTCACCTGAGAGGCATTATTGTTAAATCCATTACAACATTTTGAACATGATTCATAGGATGAATTAAATGCAACTAAGCTTTTTACACATATATGTTTCACTTTATTGACTACACTCATCCAACAAGTCACCTTCCAACCGACATAGCCATATTGCCATGGAATAATCTTGGTTGGACTTATGGTAACTTCAGAAGCACCATTTTTTTTTTTTTTTTAATGACCCAGGCTGAGGTATTCCAAAGTTAATCTTGTGATACATCTCGTTGAAATCAATCTAATCGACTTGAAATCAATCTAATCGAAAAAAAAAACAGTAATACAATTACTGTTTGGAATTATATTTTACATATTTCTATAACATGTTTTAAACTTCTTGGAGCTATAGGGCACCTGGGTGGCTTAGTCAATTGACCGTCCGACTCTTGGTTTTGGCTCAGGTCATAATCTCAGGGTCCTGAGAGCAAGCCTCACATTGGACTCCACGCTCAGCAGGGAGTCTGATGAAGATTCTCTCTCTCCCTCTCTCTCTAAAAATAAATAAATAAATCTTAAATAAACAAACTCTCCGGAGGCAGGAAATTTCTTTCATTTGTTCTGAAAACTAGGACAGTGCTTTGCACAGTGTAGTTTACTCAATGTTTACAAAATTGAACTGGGTTAGTATTCCCATTTTCTTGTCTTGCTTACAGTCTAATTTCTTTTACAGGAAGAGGAAAGTCAGTGATAGGCTGTTTAACTTTTTAAATTAAATGATACTCCAGACCTCCCTCCTTCAATAGCCAAGTACTTACAGATGAAAATACGCTGGGTTTTGCCAGTGACTCTTTCCCTCAGAGAGATGTTTTTCTGCTTAATATGTCACCCATAAACCCTGAAACAAACTTATCCATGATTCTTATAAAAATAAGATATACTCCTGCACAAGTGCTTTATGTTCATACTCCTTGGATTGTTTTGTTAAAAATTAAACAGGCTCCTACTGAAAATGTTTCCTGGGAGACTAGCATAGCATGTCTGGATGGGTGAGAGAATCTCACATTGTGATGGCACATTCATTAACTTATCTTCCTTCAAAATTTTTATCATAACGACCTAATAATGACCAACCGATTGATCTCTATGGTGGCAGTAGTTGGGAACTGACAGATCTACTAATGAATCTTTTTCAGCTTTCAAGGAAGAGAAAAATATACATTACATAAACTGCTTCTGAATATAGAAAAGGAAAATAACCCTTTTAAAAAAATTATAGACTCCTGTTATTTATAAAAAGAGATGCATAAACTTCGGCATGGATGGAAAAAGAGTACGAAATCACACAAGGTCCGTCACAGATCTCAGGGTTAACTTCAGTAAACCACAGTGTGTATACCTCCAAAGAACCTTCACCAGTATCCCTTGAAAGCTTCAATATTTGAACACCTGCCACCAGGGATGGCTACGTCATTGGTGGGGCCGAGTGCAAAACAAAAATATAAACGCCTGTTCTAAAAGTAGGGGAGAGTGCCATTAGAGTTGCTAAAATATAGAATGATTTCTTTCCTTTGCAGATTCCCTCTGCACTATAATGGTGATGTGTTTTTTATTTGCTATTCTATGTCATGTTCTAGCAAACACAGGGATACTTGAAAGGTGAGTGCACACATTCACTCCAGGGTCCAGTAGAGCCCTACAGCAGCACTCAGCACCCACGGACGCACAGAAGT